AGCTGTCTTGAGCTCCTCCCTCCTCCATTCTCTCAGGGGCACTACACACATTTGTGTGATGATAGGCAGAGAATAAGGAGGTACACTGTGGTTTGGGGAACCGAGTGAAACTAATGGGCACAAGAAGATTAAATAACTGAATCTTGAGTGAAAACAACATAATACTTTATCAAATAAATGAAATAACTTTAGATGGCTCTTTTTCATTCTTTTATTAACAAGTATTTATTGAACAATTATTCTCTGTTAAGCTCTTTGCTGGGTACTAGGGATGTAGTGGTCAAACAAAACACAGATCCTGCCTTTGTGAAGTTTATAGTCCACATAGAGGATATATATCTATATCTATATTATATGTCACACAGAATGTTCAAATACAATTGTGAGAAATTTAAAATGAAAAAGTGAAAAAGCCAGAGTGCTCTAAGAAGGTATGATAAAAAGACCGAGTGGAACCCAAAGAATGAGCCAGGTGTAAAGTGGAGTGAGGGAGGGGAAAAAACAGTATGTGTGAAAGTTACAAGGGGGCAATTAGATTTGAGGAACATAAAGACATCCAGGGAGGAAAGGAGTTCAGAGAACAACAAAGCAACAAAGCATTAGACTGGAGATCAAGGAAAGAGTTATATCTTTTTGGCTGTGGACAGGCTCTAGATGGGCTACATGTCCTTGGGTATTATGACAAGTAATGTTGGTCACATCCACAGGGCATTTGGACTTGACCCTAAGAGCAATAGGAAGTCATTGAAGTTTTCTAAGCTCAGTAGACCTTACACTAGCAGATTTTTAGAAATTTCCCAATGGCCAACACACCAAACAGAGCCCTTGACCTATATCACAAACCTAGACTCAAGAAAAAAAGAAAGACACGTACGGATGGAGCAGATGAAGCATTTCCATTCTGTAGATCAGCACAGAAGGCTAGGAAGAGTTCCTGAAAGGCTGAAAAGTAATTACACTTCTACTCTGGATCCACATCTTAACCACAAGGAGTGTGTTCTGCAGGCTCTATTTCTTAACTGAGGGTAATTACAAGAAGTTAAAACTAGATTAGAGACAATTAGAGCCTATGCAAGAGGGAACTCTGTGGGTGGTTAGGAAGGGTGTAGGAAAAACCAGCTGAGAAAGTGTTTCCCACACTGCTTGGCATTCTTTGACTCAAGTTATAGGAAGAGGCTTTTTTGGGGGGAGGAGTCTACCATTGTTACCAGTGGAATGAGGTAAATACACACACACATACACACACACACACACACACACACATACTCATTCACATCACTGACAGCCAATAAAGATTACCTTTCATCAGGTCAAAGTTCTTCATAGGTCAGAAGCACATAAATGGAAACAAAGAGGAAAGAAAGTTGGGGGTTGCATTACAATTTAACTGAATATGTCTTAATGATCAAGTGGGTTTCATCCCAGGGACACAAAGGTGGTTCAACATATGCAAATCAATCAATGTAATACATCACGTCAACAAAACAAAGGACAAAACCCACATGATCATCTCAATCAATGCAGAAAAAGCATTTGACAAAATTCAACACCCATTTATGATAAAAACTCTCGCCAAAGTTGGTATAGAGGGAACATATCTCAACATAATAAAAGCTATATATGACAAACCTATAGCCAGCATAGTTCTCAACGGTGAAAAACTCAAAAGCTTCCCACTAAAATCTGGGACAAGACAAAGCTGCCCACTATCACCACTCCTACTCAACATAGTCTTGGAAGTCCTAGCCACAGCAATGAGACAAGAGAGAGAAATAAAAGGGATCCAAATTGGAAAAGAAGAGGTAAAAATGTCACTATGTGCCAACGACATGTTACTATATGCAGAAAACCCTAAAAGGTCCACACAAAAACTACTAGAGCTGATCAAAGAATTCAGCAAGGTAGCAGGTTACAAAATTAATGTTCAAAAATCAGTTGCATTTCTTTACACTAACGATAAATCAACAGAAAAAGAAAGTAAAGAAACAATCCCCTTTAAAATAGCACCCAAAGTAATAAAATACCTAGGATTAAATCTAACCAAAGAGGTGAAAGACTTATACACAGAGAACAATAAAACACTGATTAAGGAAATTAAAGAAGACTTAAAAAATGGAAAGATATCCCATGATCTTGGATTGGAAGAATCAATATTGTTAAAATGGTCATACTGCCCAAGGCAATCTACAGATTTAGTGCAATCCCTATCCAATTACCCAGGACATATTTCACAGAACTAGAACAAATCATAATAAAATGTATATGGAACCACAAAAGACCTAGAACTGCCAAAGCATTACTGTAGAAAAAGAAAGAGGCTGGAGGAATAACTCTCCCAGACTTCAGACAATACTACAGAGCTACAGTCATCAAGACAGCATGGTATTGGTGCAAAAACAGACATACGGACCAATGGAACAGAATAGAGAGCCCAGAAATGAACCCACAAACTTTTGGTCAACTCATCTTCGAGAAAGGAGGCAAGAATATACAATGGAATAAAGACAGTCTCTTCAGCAAATGGTGTTGGGAAAACTGGACAGCAGCATGTAAATCAATGAAGCTAGAACACTCCCTTACACCATACACAAAAATAAACTCAAATGGATCAAAGACTTAAACATCAGACAAGATACAATAAATAAACCTCCTAGAAGAAAACCTAGGCAAAACAGTATCTCACATACATCTCAGAAATGTTCTCATAGGGGAGTCTACCCATGCAATAGAAATAAAAGCAAGAATAAACAAATGAGACCTAATGAAACTTACAAGCTTCTGCACAGCAAAGGAAACCATAAGTAACACAAAAAGACAACCTACGGAATGGGAGAAAAGTTTTGCAAACGAGGAAACCGACAAAGGCTTGATCTCCAGAATATATAAGCAGCTCATATGACTTAAAAAGAAAAAACAAACAACCCAATCCAAAAATGGGCAGAAGACCTAAACAAGCAATTCTCCAAGGAAGACATACAAATGATCAAAAAGCACATGAAAAACTGCTCAATATCACTAATTATCAGAGAAATGCAAATCAAAACTACAATGAGGTATCACTTCACATCAGCCAGAATTTCCATCATTCAAAAGTCCACAAATGACAAATGCTGGAGAGGCTGTGGAGAAAAGGGAACCCTCCTACACTGCTGATGGGAATGCAGTTTGGTGCAGCCACTATGGAGAACAGTATGGAGATTCCTCAAAAGACTAGCAATAGACTTACCATATGACCCAGGAATCCCACTCCTGGGCTTGTATCCAGAAGGAAATCTACTTCAGGATGACACCTCCACCCCAATGTTCATAGCAGCACTATTTACAATAGCCAAGACATGGAAACAGCCCAAATGTCCATCGACAGATGATGGATAAAGAAGAAGTGGTATGTTTATACAATGGAATACTATTTAGCCATAAAAACCGACACCATGACGCCATTTGCAGCAAC